TTACTAGGAACTCTCACTTGAAGTACAAGCAAATACTCTTTTTAATCATACTGGCCACTGGAAACATTTCTAATACTTTGCTTTGACTGGTTTTGTGACACCAAATAAGCAAACTTTATGTGATCATATCCGGTTTCTTTATATCCAGAGAATACCTGGATTATATTATAGTATATTTTAAAGTGATAAGAGAAAAACTTATAATGCAGAACAGCATTGATATATAGACTAGCTGTTGCCCGCGGCTTCACACGCCCTATACAAATTTTGTATAGGTGCCACTCGCTGCTAATAGCTTTGTTCGCGGATCATATTTTGAACCGATTCCGAACCAGTCCGGAACTAATTGAAAACTATCGTAGAGCGCATGCCCAGTTATAGTTGGGTTCGGCTTGCTGCACTCCGAGTGATTCCGTTCGCACTTCAGCCGTTCGGGTATTACCTTTTAGCTTATCAGATAACGGCTGGAGTGCGATCGGAGTGAGCAACCCGAACCCAACTTGTGAATGGGTTCAGGTTCCTATTTTATCGCGAACAGTTTTGGAACCGAACAAAAACTCCAGAACCTTGCTCCAGACTGTCGAATACGTGAACGAATTGCGAATGTCATGTCTCAAACTTGAAGTTAGCTTAGCCTGGGACCGGTGGAATTTGTTCAGAATCAGAATGAAAGCATGAAAATATAACGACAAAAACACATTTTTTTTTTGCACTGATTCTGCAAATGGAAATCGCTATGAATTTGATTCTGCTTGTCATATTTCTGAATTTGACAGCTGACACGTCGTCTGTTTCTGTTTACATTTTTTTCCCCGAACTCCCGCACCACACCGTTTCTTATTTTTGGTTATTTAAGGCGATTGCTTAAGGCCATGTTGATATTATTTCTTAGTGAGCATCTCCAACCTATTACCTACCTGTTTGCAAAATTTCATCTCGATTGGTTTAGTAGTTTTCGAGATTTCGTGTTTAATCAGTCAGTCAGTCAGTCAGTGAGTGAGTGAATTTCACGTTTATATATATAGATAGAGATAATTTTCATTTGGATGTGTTCTACCATTGGTTCTACCTCACCCAAGAGCATAATGGATACTACAATGCTTTGATTGAGACTGATATGATAACTTTTGAAAGGTTGAAACAGAGAGAGAAAGTATTCATTAGTCTGCATGCATGTCGTGTGCTTGAATTTTTGAATATTGCAAAGTGCTATAAGTGCCAGGGATTTAATCACTTCTCGAGAGAATGTGAAGAAAAAATCAGAGTTGTCCAAAATGTTCCAAAAACCACAGTGAGGCTGAATGTAATGAAAATAATGAAAGCTTTATAAATTGTTTATGAGCCAACAAGAAGTATGGTACAAGTTTAAATACAAATCATACAGTATGGGATAGGGCGTGTCCATGTCTGCAATGAGCGGAGGAGCAAACGAAAAGTAAGCTAAACTACAACAAATAGCCACTACGGATGTTTTGTTTGAATGTACAGAGCTTCACAGCACATATTGAAGAAATAAGTGAACTGATGAGTCAAATAAACATAGAAGTATTTCTGGCAACTGAAGCCGGGGTTACTTCAGACATAGAGGACCAAGAGATTTCTATTAATGGTTATAACAATGTACGATGTGACTCAGAGAATAGGTTCACTGGGGGAGTTTTGTGTATTATTGATGAGGGCTTGCCATTTCACGTACTGACTTTGGTGAAGATTCCTAAGTTATTCTGGTTAACTGCTGTAAGAATACAGGGTTGTATTATAGTATGTTTATAATATAGATCACCGAGCTCAAGTATACCTGAATTTCTGAAGAGAGTTTGTGAAATTATGGAGGATAATAATAACATTGAATTGTATAAACCTGTACATAGTGGGAGATTTTAATACAGATATGAATAAAGACAGACTTTTTTTTTTATAGTAATAAATTGCTGAAAATGACGCAGTCCTTTGGTCTAGTTCAAAAAGTCATTGACTTTACTTTACAAAGAATGAGAAAACAGACGTTGAAATTATTAGAAAGCCATACATAACTGATCACGATATGATTAGCTGTATCAATGCTCATGAAAATAAAGAAAAAGCAAAAAAAAAAAAAAAATAGAAACTCTAATAAGTACGCTGAAAATATAATAATAAGTATTAGAAATTTCAATAAAGACCAACTAGCGAGGCATTTATTCGAAAAAGCTTGGTTACAAGATGGCTCCGTAAACGTGTTAAAAAAAAAAGTCCATTCCAAAATAATTCGTTGACTCTTCAAGTATCAATAAAATGTTGATGATACCCTCAACCACAAACTTCGACTACCTGTGAGCAGGTCCGGGTTGATTTTATTTATTATACCTGCCTAGGTGAGATGTACATGTAAATGTGGGTGAATGTTTTAGTTAAATTATTTAGTCTTTGTGCAGAACTAGAGCTGTTATATTGACAAAAAAAATGTGGCGTCCATGGGCAAATGATGGTAGTATTGCAACCGGAAGTGGTATTTCAAAAAAAAAACATTTATCGCTAGATGCCAAGGAAATTGTGAGGAACGTTTATTTAACCCTTCTGCAGAGAGGCTATAATCATAATCAAAGTGTGAGTGAATCATCCGTTTTAACCAAAACTCCATTATCTACGGTTAAAGATATCGTAGCCAAACGCATCCAGCCAAGGAAGCAACGGTGTGACAGCGGCAAGTCAAGAAAGGTTGAAGAAGCGGATAAAGAGTTGATTCGTAGGAAAATTTATGATTTGTACAGTAAACAAATAATACCTACAATAGATTCTCTAAAAAAGGTACTTATAGAAGACGAAACTGATATATGATATAGCAGAACAAGCCTTTGGAGAATTGTGAAAGCAATGGGTTTCAAATATCAAACCATTAATAAGAGGCAAGTGCTAATGGAATCCCAGCGATTACAAGCATGGCGTCGAGAATATTTAAGTTCCATAAAACAATATAGGGCAGAAAATCGTCCGATAATATATCTTGACGAAACATGGTTTGATACCCATGACACTCCCAAAAGAGGGTGGAGCGACTCAACCTCCAAATGTCAAACCAAAGCACCCTCAAATAAAGGCCAGAGGATTACAATTTTGCATGCCGGATCAGAAAATGGTTTTGTTCCAAACTCTTTGCTGCTATCCGCAAAAAAAATAGCCAATTCATCATTAGATTATCATCAAGATACCGATGCAAAATTATTTGAAGAATGGTTTCAGAATCGCCTTCTTCCGAACATACCAGAAAACAGTATAATTGTGATGGACAACGCTAGTTACCACAGCCGTCAAAAAAATAAAGTGCCCAATGCAAGTAATACAAAAGTAGAACTTCAAAAATATATGATGGAAAATGATATGTATTTCGAAGAAAATTATACAAAGAAAGATCTTTTAAACGTTTTGAAATCATATAATGTTAAAAAAGAATATATTTGTGACGATCTTGCTAGCGCTTGTGGTCATACAGTTTTGCGTCTTCCTCCATATTATTGTATTTTCAATCCAATAGAACATATCTGGCATGAATTGAAGGCAATGCTTAGGAGAGGAAACACCTCTCCTACACTTAGTACTGCTGTAATAGATTTAATTAGAAAATGTGTAGATAATATTCCAGTTCAAAGCTGGAAAAATTCTGTCAATCACGTTATAAAAGTTGAAGAAACCTATAATTCAATAGGTATTAATGTTAAGCCATTAATAATTAGTTTAGGCATAGATGAAGATGACAGTGACAGTGAAACGGAACTAAATATAGATTAGGTTTGGTTGAATTGTGTATTGTATTATATTGTATTAGATATTAAGTTTTGGTAATTATTAAGATAGTATAAGATTATAACATAAATAAATAATATTATGAAACGCCTTTTTCGTTTTCATTATAATGGGCACAAAATCCGTACCTGTAAACCTTTGAGTGGGTATTAAGGAACCCGGTACCTACATAAAAGAACCTGGTACCTACACAATAGAGGCTAATAGCTATCTAATTTATGGTAGGGTTTTATAGCCGTGAAGTCAACGAAATATTTTGGAATGGACAGGAAATTTTAGCAAAAATATTTTGGAAGTATTGGATACTGTGGTGCCAATCCAGATCTTAAAAAATTCTCCTTTAAAGAATAAATGGTTTGATCAAGAAATAAAACTTTCAATAAAAACATGTGACACCCTTTATAAGCTAGATTGCAAAACAGTGAAGAAAACTGGAAAAAGTACCGAGAAAGCCGTCACTCTGTGACTGCACTTATAAGAAAAAAGAAGCAAAAATACTATGAAAGTATAATCGATCAGAATAGAGGAGACAGTAAGATGTGGATAGAGATAAAAGAAGTAATGGGGAAAAATAAGAAAAGCTAAATAAAGGAAGTATATTTTAATGGTGAAAAGTCAATGACTCGAATGGGCATGAAATAACCCCAGAATATAAAAAAATTGGAAAGATAGAAGTGGAGACAGAATTGAAGGCTTTTTCTTTAATATCTGAAATGGAGACTAAATATCATATATCTAATGGGTTTCAAAAGGTCAAAATTGGTAATTCATTGTCAGAAACAGAGGGAGTAGTATTATGGTGTCCCTGTACCCTGTGCTAGGTTGTTTATTATTTATTGTTCATGTTAATCATATTTCTGAATGTGTTGATGAAGATATAATGATTAATTTGTTTGCTGATGATACAGCCATTAATCATTAATGAACATGCTGAATACATATCAGATAAGGTCAGCAAGCGAATAAATTTCTTTAGTAGAATTTGTAAGAATCTATCATATATGTCAAGAATATATGTATATAAAACTCTTATAGCGTCTCTCTTCGAGTATTGCCCAACGATCTTACTGTGTAGTAACGATTGTGTAAATCAAATTTTAGTTTTCAATAATTTATTATTTATTAATATTATTATTAGTAATGGTGTTCATAATACTTATTTAATATTTAAGTGATATTTTGTACTATCAAACATTTTGACTATGATTTTCTTGTTTCAGGGTAGCAAGATTACCAAGATCAAGCCGTCAAGGACACAACAGAATGGTTGCTTGCACAGCCTGGTCTGACGAATACCTCGGCGGTGTTAATTTGTTCACTTGCGGCTTCGACAGAAGAGTATTGGGCTGGTCGGTGGCTTCCCTCAAAGATATTTAAGTTACAAGTTCAATTCGTTAAAGTTTCATGTGATATATTTTCGAATTATATTAGAAGAATTCCGGAAGATTTACCAATCAAAGTCAAATTTAGTAGATTGTTACTTACCTAATGTCACTGGCAATTTATCCATTTCACATTTATTACACTCCACAAACATTCAGAATAGGTACGTAATTTATAAAATAATAAGTTATATTTTTGAACATATTTGGGCCTATGTTTATGCTAGTTTGTTGAAAATTAGGATTTAAGGTTTGTTGTAATCTTATACTATAATAACGACTGTAGTTAGGTTTATTAACAGTTAAGTTCTAGTCAGACAATAATGTTGGTACTGATCTATTTTATTTTATTTTTTGGTGTTGTAGTAACATTGTTTTTGTCCCATTATGTTTTTGTATATAATTTGAAATAAAGATGGAAAACATTTTAGTCATTTTAGAATTCTTTATTTAACCCCCAACAATACCTGCAGCCATACTAGTTATGTTAAGGTTTTTGCCTAACTAATAAGTAGAAAACCATGATGGTCGTTGAAACGCTATCACCATTGTGACTTCATGTCATAAGTTGATTGGTACGACGTTTATACAACGTCAAATTGTTCTTGCTAATTCCAAAAAAAATATTATATGTTGTCAATTGTGCCTACCTCCAGTGAACGTGAAGGCAATATAATATACCCAATAACGCGATAGAAATTTGTTGTTGCCAACACACGTAAAAAAATTGAAAATGTAGAATATAGAAAACTTGATGTTTAACATTTTATTCCTTAATCAAAATACAATATTTACATAAAGGACAATTAAACGACCGTCTCAAGCATAATTTTAAGCAATGAGGATGAAACAAATGATTACAAGGAGTTATTCTTGCTTTAGACATCCTGTTCAAGCATATTGCGCATATATCGTCCCAATCTTCAATTTGCTTTTCTGAAGCAACCTGACAACTGGAGTATGTTTCTCTTTCAACCAGTAATATCTCCCAATAGTTGTAGTAGACATCTTTTAAACGTAAATAAACCATAAAATATAGGCTAAGTAAAATAAAGCTTGTACTTGCAGATTTTACAATGAAACTGTAAAAATCTATTGTGAAACCTGCCACTATCGCAAGAAAATTCATGAACAGTGGCACGTAAAGGTGCTCCAAATTGTCTAGTTTGTCTATTTGTAAAGCCTCAATTATTTCAGGAAATATTTTCAAGAATACGTTTTCAGTGCATAGAAAATAGGTAAAAGTTACGAGGCAATAAAGCAGGTTCTGCTCAAACTCCAATCCTTCCTCCCTCAAATATAAAACTAAAATAGCAGCTTTAGCCCATTCTAAAATAATTTTGCAAAACGCCTTCAAATGGTTGATAAATGATCGAGCTGTCATCGCAACAGTCCTGCGTCTAGAGCCCCTCCAAATATCGCGTACTTTGAAGACAAAATATCCTAGAATCGAGTACAAAAGTATCGAGCTTATTGATTCGACAAACATTTTGTATTTTCGAAGATCTTCGACGTACTGATTGCCCAAATGCGGTCTGCAGAGTGTGAAGAAGCATAGCTGAAAGAAATTTTTTTGATTATGAAAGATGCCGAGCATGAGCAGAGTGAACCATGCGCAGAAAGTTGAAATAAAAAGACTTGTATATTTCTCTATTTCTATTGTAGATGCACGTAATTATACCTTGAAATTTTTCGTTTGTAGTTATTTTGGAAAACCAGTGGGTAAAATACCTGGAACTTAGAATACCTTTGTAGGTACCTAATCATAATGTCAATGAAAATTTGAAAATGTGAAGTTTTTTTCATCTAGAGTACAATGACCAGTCATCATAGGCCATCACTTGATATTATATTCTTATTGTCGTCGATTGTGAGTTCTCTGATATGGTTATTATCGGTATAAGGCCGATAAATAGCAAATAACGGCCGGGCTGAAGTTTGTGATCCGAGGCGATAGCCGAGGATCATAATCAGCCAAGGCACAAACCACATGGTTCATGGTTCGACTTAGAAACTTTGGTACCATTGACAGGCCGCCCAATTTTCAGGCAGTATATAATGTAGTGACGCGGGAATAAACCACCAAGAAAACAATTAAAGGTCTTGATTATCCTAAACATCTAAAGACCTAGGATCCAATTACCGAAAATTGATCAAAAATAACAAGGACTTACCAAATAAATATCCCAGGAGAAATCATCACTTAGACAGCACAACCAGAAACTTCAATTAAAAAGTATCTGAACATCGATATCCAGAAATTATTGAAAGCCGATAGGTACTCTATATTGACTAATACATTGGAATGTGAATAAAGCAAAAAGTTCATAAGACCTTTTTTTTAAGTGCTTTCAACAACATTCCAAAGGGGCCGAAAAATTTCTAAAAGGATCAATAAATCATGCACGAGCCTATATGATCATACCCACTTAACAAACCACTTAGCGACACCCTTGATAATTAATTAAAAGGGGACCAAATACACTAATTGATTGGATGATTCAACCACGAAAAATCGAGGTCAGAATAAATAAAGAAATTTCAAGACAATGGAGGGACCAATCATGCTATAAAAAGGTAACTTTGGTAGGAGAAAAGCAGTGTTCGAGAAAAGCAGTGTTCGAGAAAGAGCGAGTAAACCGGCAGAACTACGGCGTGAAGGACCAGTGTCGGTTGAGTAATCAAGAAACAAGTAGTAATCGAAAATCGAGAGACCTGTGTCCAGAAAGTCAGAACTGCGGAGTGAAAGAGTTGTCGAATTTACCGAGAGAAGAAGCACGACGTGGAATAATAGCGCGAAAATATTCGAGTTTTTTATTAAGTGTTCATAATTAAAGTAAATTCCTCCGACCAATAAGATTTCCATGTAGTTAGATGTGGTCAGCAGTTAATATATTATTGTTAAATGTAAGTGGAGTTTTTTTTATGTTCAGCCAGAAATTGTGAAGGCAAGAGTGTGAATCGAGTCAAACTGTAAATAAAAACTTTTACTTGGAACCAAATAAATTTTCCTTAACAGTTAATTGATGCTTATTAGAAATCTAACAATTTTATTGTAAGATTATTTATAACTGATGCCTGTTATTTAATAACAAGCATTATTTATTTTAATAAAATAAACTTTATTTTAATCGACCACAATATTTCTGTGTTTTACTCTCCACCCGCAAATAGGACCCATTTTAAACTGTGCCTCCACTCAGAAAATAAAGTCACCGTTCGCCAATTTAACATCTTGCCAAGTTTCTGAATTTGGGGTCTCACAATACCAAATAAGGTCCATGGTCCACAAATATATGGTACCTATCAAATTGTTCAAAGTATATTCAATAGATGGTTACACGTGGGCACTTGCAGTACGGGGAAAGTAAGCAACTGGGGTACGCGAAGTAGGATTAGCAGAAAATTTTTGTTTGAGATTATTATTATTAAAATTACAATAACAGGCGGTTGAAACCGATACATCTATTGTTACCTTATCAAACTTTTGAAAGGATATGTGAGATTTAGTTCATGCATCATAATGAAATATTCTTTCTGGAGTATTCTTTCAACACGATTTTTGGAAATATTAGTGTTTGGTGCTGTCACTGTATTTTGGCAAAGCAAATTCCAAGAATGCACTACACGGTTCACTATATAAAGTTGTTCCTACGTAGTTTTGATGAACTTTCTTTGTCAAGCTTTGTTGAATTGTATGAGCTTCTGCTTATATTTAAAATAATGTTGACTAAGTTTTCATACTTTAACCATTTATTTTTGATTTACATAAGGTGAAGAATGATACACCCTGTGTACCCAGGGCCGGCTCCAGACATTTCGGTGCCCCGTGCAAAAAGTATTTTTGCTGCCCTCTTACCGATTACTTTCCTATTTTGTAGTTTCAGTACTACCCTCGGTACTACGTATTTGCTAAACTTACTTTTGACTTTAATATTGTCCAGTAGCGGTGTTCTTATATGATACTATATATTTTTATAATTTTTAAGTTTTTCACTATACCATTTTAATGCAATTAACCTACAATTGGCGGCAACTCTCAAATAACACCAAAACATTACCTGCAACTAGCTAACAATAGGTGTTTTCTGGTTCTCGTTTTGGTTCTCGTTTTTCGAACTGTTCGCGAACCATTCTGGATAATTAAAAGGGAAGAAGGTGTTTTTGCTTACCAACTTATAAACTCCCCTCTTCCATCGCAGGTTTCTCCCTCACCCCTGAATCTCCTTTTAGCATTACCTCAGGGGAAGCTGCGTAAATTAGGTATTGGTCATGTATCGCCATTGTTGGTGTCGTTGGCATTTCTTGATTGTAGGTATGTGTTTTCTTCCATTGTCTTCACTTTCAAGATTGCGTTGGCCATTTCTTTGACTGCGTTCCAGTTTTCGACTTTGCTGATCATTTTGTGGGTGATGTTTTGGGGTGTGATTGATCCTGTTCTTTCGATGCATGTCTCCCGTTGCTCTTTCCAGTGCCCACATGAGAAAAAGGTGTTTTCAACATTATCCCTTTCTCCGCAGAAGACGCATTCATTATCCGTGGTCTTATTGATCATGTATGTGCAGTCCCTGAAACAGCCGTGACCCGTCAACATCTGCATCAAGAAGAAGTCCGTTTCGCCATGCGGCCTATTTACCCATGTGGCCAAACTTAGAATTAGTGTATGTCCATCTGCCCTTCTTTTCGTTTTCCCATCTATTTTGCCGTTCTTGTACTAGGTTGGCGTCCGATATTTCGGCGACCTGTTTCACTAGGAAGTCTATCGGTGGTGTTTTTACAATGACCAGTACTGCTTCTGTTGAAGTTGTGCGGTAGGCGCAACATATTGTCAGTGCAGCATTCCTCTGGATGTTTTCCAGCCAGCTCCGGTACTTCCTGTATTTCATGGCTTCATCCCAAACTGGGGCCGCATAATCGACCTGGTCACAGAGCATAGTAAGCTTTCTTTTGGTTGGGTACGGGCCGCCCACATTAGGCATTAATTTAGCCAGAGCTTCATGGCGTTTGCTGGTTTGACCGCAGTTTTCTTTAGGTGGCTTGCAAACGTTAGCTTGTTATCTAGCCATACTCCCAGGTATTTAATGTCTATGTGGTTGGAGATATCGTCTTTCCCCATACCATAAACGCTGTATTGGGCACCACCTTTTTATTGGTTATTATTAAGGCCTCTGTTTTTTCTTCTGCTAGTTCCAGTTGATTCTCCTGTAGCCACGACATAATACCTGGTATTGCTATCAGTAGCATTATTTCAATCTGATCCAGGTTTTTGCCCAGAACTGTCAGTACAATATCGTCCGCATATCCTATCAGTGTAGCGCCCTTTGGTAGTCTTAGTTTCAAGAGTCCGTGGTACATGATGTTCCACAGGGTAGGTCCGCATCCTGGAACTGCGCAGGACTAGTTGCGTACTTATTCAATCTTTAGAACTGTGCGCAGATCGTTTGGAATTGATCAGAGTTCGAAAAAACCCGGACATATTAAGTAATATTTTTTTACAGAGCAGGCGACAGCGATAATTAATGAAATATATCATAAAGCTTTTTTTGTAGTGTGGTTTCTTTTGCCGAACTATTCTCCCCGAGATTTTTGCCGCCCTTCGATTTTGCCGCCCCGTGCAGGAGCACAGGCTGCACGGGTCCTGGAGCCGGCCCTGTTGTGTACCATTCTAGCTAGCCGTAGCAGCACTGCACGGGGTGGAAAACGACAGGGTCGTATTAAGGCAATAAACATACCGCCCCCCTTGAAGACCTTAAGGGCATTCAACAAATTTAACAAATTAAAGTCATGATTGGTTCGGAAGCACACAAATTTTCACCACCGGTCTCTTGAAAATTCCAGAACTGTTTTTGATTGTTACAGCACGTGTCACACCATCTGACCCAGGATGAATGTCTGTTATTCTTCCTGTGCACCATTTCAGTGGAGGAACTCCATCTTCCTTCACAAGTACTAGAAGACCAAGCTTGAGAATATCATCAAAATGTTTCTTCCATTTGGAGCGGACTTGTAGGTTTGAAACGTATTCTTTGGCCCAACGGGACCAAAAATGCTGTACCATTTTTTGGAATTTTTCGTACTTGGACAACTGATTTTCCTTGACATCGAGTATTTGACGTGAAGGTAATGAATTGTTGAATGTTTCACCAATTAAGAAGTGTGGGGAATATAATCGTTAGGACCGGTTGAAATTGCAAAAAGAGGTCTAGAATTTACAGATGCTTCGATCTGACAAAGCACGGTGTAAAAATCCTCAAAATTCAATGGAACGTTGCCAACCACTCGCTTTAGGTGATGCTTGACGGTTTTAACACCGGCCTCCCAGAGTCTACCAAAGTGAGGCGCTCGAGGCGGAATAAATAAAAATCCAATGTTGTCATTTGCGAGTTCAGTTGTGATTGAATTTTTATTTTATTCAAAGAAAGTATGTATCTCTTTGGCGGCGCCAACAAATGTAGTACTATTGTCACTATATATTCGGACACACTTTCCACGACGAGACATGAATCTACGTAAAGCTGCAATAGAGCATTGGCTAGTTAGATCCCTAACCAATTCAAG